AAAGTTTAAGCCTTAATTTTAGATACATGAATTAAGACCTTTTTAAAGATGCACAGACTCATTGATAGAGACCAGGAAAGCCATTTGCCAGAGATACTGTACAATATTAATTACATGTAATATAGATTTTTAAATTCCAAACCGTGACATGTTGGTCAGTCCGTTTTGTCTCTTCTTAGCCCAGACAAGGAGGTCAATAACAGGACTTTGCTAGCTTTCATCCACTTTCAGATATCAACAGATTTTGTTACTGAGACGATTTGAAATGTTGCTCAGGAGGAAGGTTATTCACATGCAGTGACCTTATACATGGACCTATGACCTCGATTGAAAGGAATTATATACAGCAGGTAGGATATTTATTGCTCATAGCTACTAAACACAAACCCCTTTTGACAGATGTAAGCAATCCCTTCAATGTTTTTGGCAAAGACACATAACGTTTCAGTATTCCATCTAATCATAAGCTTATAAAAACAAGGTAGAAGAGGTGTAATCTGAAAAATCCAGTTGAAACGTTGCAAAAAGAATGCATTGCTGCTTTCTTCGACATGTTTGGAACACTTTGTCCCCTTAAGGTGAACAGCAGCCAACAGAACGTGGCAGGAAATAAGTCCAGTGTGAGAAAGCTCCAGAGGACAAAGTCCTCAAGTTCAGGCCCTTCTGAGTGACAACTTCCAGTGGAAAGTGTACCACACATGCACGCCTTCCCCCCTGATATCATCCTTCCTCAACTCAAGATCAACATCCTCTCTGTATCAGTGCGACTCCTTCCTCCTCTCCTTGGGCAGAGGAACCCAGCTTCGATCCTCTGTGCAACGGTTTTCTGGAAACAGGCCGGGGCAGATCTGACTCTTGTACAAACTCCGAACTGGGTGGAAAAAATCCCCTCATCTGGGGCCGGAACATGTGTTTCAGTGTTTGTTTCCCTACTTTTGGCAGGTGGACGGGGGGAATGTCAGCAGTTGTTACTCGCGGAAAAGCACACGTGCGAGTGATTTTTCTGCACATGAATGAAGGGGGGGGGAATGTTAGCTGGTTTCAAGCTAGCAAATTTGAAATCCTCCAAGGTGTCAGACGCTAGCCAAGCATAAACGCAGGTGGCAGTGACAGGGATTAATCAGGCAAATTAAAGAAATTCACAAATGGAAGTATATACTCTTTTACAAAAAACAACCTTATTGGCACGCTAATTGTGTGTACTAGTAGAATCGGTATAATGTTTCAACATTATGACACTTAAAATAATGAGAAAATTGGTGAGGCAATTTACAAATCTTTGCAATCTGCTTCGTTTTATGTTTTCTTTCTGCACTGGACTCACAAAGCAGATTGCACTAAATACAAACCACCAGCATAAACAGGCTAAATTTTTCCATGTTTTTTTTATGTCAGATAAAATTAAAATCACAATTAAAGATTAGTTTACAACAATCTGTGCAAAAAAAAATCCAAAAGTAAAAGTTAAAAGTTAATAAAGTTAATAAAAGTTGTTTTTCCTGTTTAGCTCGGTTAATGTATCCAAGTCAAAACAACATGTTACAGAAACATCATTGAAACCGTAATAATTAATCGTTTATACTACTTCAGCAGCAGTAAGTTTTAAATAAAACATTTGTGTTTAAACTTTTGCAAACATTGACATATTTTGGCAATATCATACCAGCCCTTGAGCTAAAATCAACAACAACAAAAAAACATTTCACCTCGTTACGTTAGCGACTTCGGCCTCAGCGTTTTCTATCTTTATTGAAACAGTAGGAGGTGAAATCAAAAAAATAAAGATGCAGTGAAGATGAAGGCCCCACAACGCGCGTATTGATTGTTTAAGCTGTGTGATCCTGCCCACGTGGTAGCAATACAGGAAGAACCCACGCAGAATTTTGAGAAGAAGAGTTAAGATGATGCATCCCAGCACCACAGAGAGGAGCACCTACACACACGGATCCTTGGGAAGTCAGCTAAAGGACGACTTGCTTTTCTTTTCTTTTTTTATCTTTCTTCCTCTCCTTCCAGCTCCGCATCTGGTCTGTGTTTAAAGGGTGTTTCTCTTTCTGTCTGGTGATACTATACATACTAACTCTCACACACAGACAGACTGCTGGCTGCCTCATGTTAGCAGCCTTCTTGCTTCACTCTTTTGGTCACTCTTGAGGCCTATAATGTAAGCAGGGGAGGGAAACCAGTGCGAAGTCTGTGCAGAGATTAATGCTAAGGTGCAAATCTGCCATCGTTCCATCTGGGCGGCGCCTTATTCGCTTAGAAAATGTTGCTAGTTCTCCCGCTTTTGGCCAAATACAATCCAAATTTTTTTTCTTTTGTTGTGGAGTCTTGTAAAATACTAGCCTGGTAGAAACCAGTTCTGCACTTTGCTTCGTCCGGAGGGCAATGGACTCTTGGCTATTGAGAAACGACTGCTTCCTGGAGGCGTGGACTCTGTTGACATTTTAAATTTTATACAATCACTAACGTTTGTCCGTGACATGTGTAATGCACCAGCCCAACGCTATAAAGTTTACCACTGTAAACAACCATTCCCCACTGCTTTCCTATGCAAATCTGCTCAATTCTCATCTCTCTTCGTTTGGGCTTTCCTACCATAAAGCACAATTTCTCCTGCAGAATTTCACCGGGTCAATCAGCTAACAGGAGAAGTTGTGAAAGACGACATCGATTTTCTGCACCGTTTTAAAGTTGTAGTCTCCCTATCGTTGTTCACTCCATGCTTTCAAATATTGAGTTAACATTAACAGTCATCTCAAAAAATCTACATCATCGATATTTTCTGATTGCTGATTGGCCTGGCCTGGTTTTGAAATCCAGCTCAATGGGAGAAAGCCCAGACAGAACACTGAAGGGAAATGAGAATAGAGCGAAATTGCAAAGAGCAGCCATGGCCAGGCTAGCAAAATACTACAATGCAACTTTATAACCAGAAACTTGAATGTAGTTTATTGGGGTTACATGCATATGGGCCAAAAAAAGTAATATATTGTAATTGTAAAGGAGAGAAGCACTGAATCATTCTAACACATCGATATGAAAATAAATAAATCATGCTGCCATCACTATGTTTTATCACAGAGATGGTGATTTCAGGATCATGTGAAGAAGAGCTGGAGGACGAAGAAATGAATAAAATATTTCCCTTTTGAGACTGGTGACCAGATGAGCAGAAACTTTTGCATTTTTTTTTCTATCAGTCACTGCGCCATACTTCGGGTAAAAGGTCAATTTATCTGCAGTCATAGCAACATAAACTTTACCAGTTATACAAACAATTGAACTGTATGATGCTGTCCTGTCAACATGAGCTAAAATCTCTTGGAATTGTTTTTGCCCGCCTTGTTAAATCAACACTGCCCAGATTCAAAGTAGTTCTGAAGGCAAAAGTCGGGTCCAACCCGGTACTAGCAAGGTGTGCCTAATAAATTAGACAAGTAAGAAAGTGCAATCACACAATTGTATGCACACAGAAGGAACATGCTGAAATTCTGCACTAAATTAGCTACAATTAGTGCTTTACGTCTCAAAATTGTATGAGTATTATTACAGATTTTATTATTATTACTATTCTTTGTCTTGCTGCCTAAATCTGATGCAAGATTGTCATCAAAATCAACTGTAAAACTATTGAAATATCCTAGTTTCCTTCTTTTGAAGAGCAAATCTGCTTCTGACACTGCAAGGTATCCAGTCCCGCTGTGCTGTTTTCTGAAGCTTTCAGAAAAGAACCCAAAAAACTCAGATTTACAGGAGAACACTGAAACACTTCAAGAGAAACTTCACACATACATCTTACAAACATACAAATTAAATCACTTTTGTGAGTCAATGTAAGCTGAGTCTGTACAGGACTAATTTTTAATACTACAGCTGGGCTGTGACATCCTCAGAGCTCTGGAATGACAACATAAAAACTAAACAAAGCATTACACCAGACCGGGAGGGAAGCCAGACGGACACGTGCGACAGGTAAGGTGACAAAACGACAAAAGCAGGCAAAACATCCCTGCACTTCAGCCCAAGTTCACATTTTTCTCTCCACACCCACGTGCTGCATTCAGGAGCATCCTGGAAACCAGCAAGTTCATGAGTAAAAGTCACGTGCGCTCATAAGAAAGAAGGAGCTTGCATGCAGATTTTGACCCACTGATTTTTTTTTCTCTAATTTGATTAACTCCGCCTCCTTTAACATCAAGTAAACTCAAGTTTCATGTCAGAATTTAATCAATATCCTGTTTCGTTTTTAATATAAATTTTAAAGCAACTGAACACAAAACTACAACTTCTATCCTTTAACAACAGGGTTTCTGTAGGTTTCATCACTCAACTAGAAGACTACTATTAATAGAATTTAAAACTGGCGTTACAACAGCAATGGACAAAAAAATTGCAAATAAAAATATCAAATGGGTTGTCAACAGAAGTGAGCAAATAGCTAAAATGAACCTTGTCCAGCAGCCAAATGACAATAAATTTGCAATTACCCATGAAGGACGTAAAAAACTAGCTAGTTTTTCCTTAGCAAGCAAGGATAAAGCAAGCTAACTAGCTAGCTAGCAAGAGTATAGCCGCTAGTTTCTGGCAACAGTTCACGGTGAAAATGTACATAAGACTCAAATTTTGGCATAAAAGTAAAATCCTGTAAGAAAAAAATAAAACTACATACAATGTGATTAAATAGTCCTGCCGCAACAAAATTTAACGACGTATTTAAGCTCAACTCGTTTCTTTTGAATGAATTTAATATTTCGTCAGGCCTTACATTTATATACATAAATATAATACCTTTTACCACTTTTTGAGGATGTGCGGAGGCTGAATAGGAATTTGCAAACACGACACCTACACTAAACTCAAGCATGGCTCTGAGTGTGACAACCAGCAGCTGGGAGCCGCACATAATATACTCCAGGTGAGTTTTTTATTTATTTTTTTTCCTTGACCTCTTGCACATTGGTATTTATTTTTTCTTCTTCTTCTTCATTTCCACTTACCTCTTGGCGGGGGCTTGCTGAGCAGCTCGGCGACGTGCCTCTGCAGCCGGACCAGTCTGCCCTCCAGCGCGCCGGAGCGGCGGCACACGGACACCAGCTCCCCCTCCAGCTCCTCCAGGATGCTCACCGAGTGCCGGGACAGATCCGAGAGCTGCCGCAGCACCGAGCACAAGGACGAGCCGCATACGCCCGCCAGCTCCCCGAACACCTCCGCCCGCAGCTTCCCGCCGCCGCCGTCGGGCTTGCACACATCTTTGGGGAGAATGGTGCGCTTGCAGAACGGCATAGTTTCTCCACAGACTCATACACACTCATAAAAGAGGAGAAAAAAGACAAACAAAAACTCCAAATAATTGTCAAGTTATACTCCCGTGGTCCTTCTCCTTGAGACGCATGCTACGGGTGGTCCTGGAGGGAAAAGTCCGCATTTGTTGGAGAGGTTTGGAGCAAGCTGCGCGTCGTGCGCACTCATTGTTTTGGACTAGGAGTCAGATTTGTAAATGTGCGTGTGTGTGTGTGTGTATGTGGAGGAGAGTCTCAGCTGCTGCTAGGCATGTTGGACAGAATCTAAGATGAAAGACATCCGGCTCAAACTTCAAAATCAATGTTTAAAAACGGGCATTTGGAAACATAAAATGTATATTTCGGCTTCTAAAGAAAATTAAATCCTTAACTACAAAATATTTAAGCTAAACCCTTACATTTCCTTGCCGTGAAGTCAAACAATTTCTCGGAATTTAGATGTTAGAACTTTCTAACAACCTATTCAATATGTAGTCGTAATGATTTCCCCCTTAATTTTTTTTTTTTTTTGAAAACACGCATTTTTAGCAGCGCTTCCGGGCGCTCCCCAGTTCCTCTTGGTATTTTTAGCCTGCGTTTCATCCGTGCTTTTATTTTGAAGGCGCCCATCCAGCGATCAGATCTAGTTAAGGGCGTCTTTACTCAAGGCGCAACAGTTTCCCAGAGAAGGGAAAAAATAAAGGTCTGTCTGGAGGAGGGAGAGAAGATGAAGAGAGCTGAGGAGGCGAAAGAGGTAGAGAGCAGAGGATGGATGAGGACGAGATGGGTGGATGGACGGAGCAGCCCAGGTAAAGCGCTGGAGGTGCTGCTCCTCACACTTTCATTGGGCTTAAATAACTCCATAATAAACAAGAAAAGAAATCACGTTTTCATCAGAACTCATGGTGTCAAAAAAAAGAAAAAAAAGCAGGACAGTAAGCAGGGCCGGCAAAAAGATTATGTGGTGCCCTGGGCAGAATCAGCTTTAGGGGCCCAACTTCCTGTTAAAGAACATCACCACAACTAGCAGTGCTTCACGTATTACTGGTTACTAAAATTAACTTAAATATGTTAAAAGCATTTATGGGAGGCAACTGAACCCTAACTGGTGAGAAAGCTGTTTGGGCAGAAGCCGAAGTTCACACACGAAGATTAAATTCATAGTGTCAGAGAGTAACTATGGCAACACAAAGCAAACAACGAGGTTTTTTTTTTCACTTTTACAGAGTAAACTTCCCAATTCCTTTCAGTTTTAGGTTTAAATTTCCAACAAGTCAGAATTTTTCATCAACGTGAAAACCGTCAAAACTAATTTAATGCTAATAAACAATATAAAAAGCTGAACCCTAAGCAGCAGCTTAGTTAGCCTCTACCTGACTGCCAACTGAATACTGTATTCAATTATATTAATGGGAAGTTGAGTGGAAGGAAGAATTGAGTTAGAAAAAGATGCTGAAGGTAGAGACTGGTATTAGTTATAAGTGAAATAATCTGCCAGTGAAGCTAGTACTTTTTTGTCAATATTAAGGAATTAATTACTTAAAACAAGCTGCTGCATCTTGCTAAAAAGTTACTTGTAAGTAAGTTTTGTCTTATTTCAAGTAAACTAAGATATTTGCACTAGAAACTTGACTAAAAATACTCGGTAAGATATTGTATTTATGCAGTGTAATTTCCTGAGAAACCGAGTTCATCAGCTGGAGGCCGTAATCATCTAAATCAACACAATCGTCAGCGAAATAAAAGCATCTGACTTTTTCAACAGAGTTAATTCAATAAATTAGTCTACGCAGTGAACATATCGCTTTCTTGACGGCATGTTTCAGACGCCGCACTAAACCTGTAGCATGCAGTTCTCAAGGCGTAACCCAGTCCTACCAAGGAGTTCCTGAGTAATTATGAAATGACGTTAAAAAGAGAATAAACTATATCGTTTTAGTCACTTTTTTTAAAATTCGCTAACAATCTTATAATTTCAAGTCTCACTCCAACCAGCCATCAGCCGCCATGCTTCTGTTTACATTAGTTTCATGTGATTTCGACCCCGGTTCGGGATGTCCACGGAGATTATCAGACACATCACACAGTACGGTCACAAGCTCCTCGTTAGAAGAAGAGGGGGGCGTGTTTGGCTCTTCCTGCCACCCCCCTTCGCCTTTGAAAACATTCTGCTGTCAGCCAGCAGCTCCGAGTGGTTAACCCACATTACCAGCTGCCCGCAGAGGATTCTTCTTCTTCCTCCCCACAAAGCGATAACAGGAGGTCAGCTGAGCAAAATGAGACGGCGCACGAGCGGTTGGGAGAGTCTCGTTCATGACGTGGCCTTCTGGAGCGAGCGTGGCGGGGGGAGCGGGGGCCCAACGGCTGTCATTTGACCTCACCTCACCCATTTTAAAGCTGCAGTGCGTAACTTTTGTAAACAATATGTTTTATGTTAAAACTGTCACCATGTCACGGCAGCATATCGTGAGACAAATACTCTGGGGAAAAAAAGAGAGCTCCTCTTCAATCTGCAAAAAAATGTGCCACGCCTGGTCAAAAACAACCAATCAGAGCCAAGAGGAGAGTCTTAGCGCTGTCAATCAAGCTCCTCTTTGCTCTCTACTACACTTCAGCTAGTTTCCGACAGTAGAGTCTGCCGTGAATGCTAAAGCTAGTTAGCATAGTCACCAACGACGGCGGGTAAACAGTTTTCCTGTAATGGTAAGTTGTTTCTCCACCATTAGCACATTGAGCAGCTGACTTTGAATCAGACTAAAACTTTCCTGGTTTTTTTGTTTGTTTTTTTACCAAAACTTTTCTCTTTTGCTAAAAATGCAAATGGGATTTATCTTGCATTTTATTCAAATTCAAAAGTTTGCAGAAATATTTTTTGTATTCTGTACAATTGAATTCAAATGGTACGACTTACTTCAAATGTTTTGGGTAACTTTTAAAAAGCTTCTCACAATAGTTTGCTGTAATTTTGATCCATTCCATCTGACAGAACTGAGATTTTTAAAGGGCCTGTATTATGTATTTTCCAGGCACATAGTCCCATTTTATAACACAATCAAGTACCTATGTTACCTCCACTTGTTATAAAAATGTCGTATTTATCAAATATAACTTGAAAGAAATTTACTTACTGATTTAATTCCTTGAAATTGGGCCTCTGTCTCTTTAAAAACTCCTGCTCTTTCTGAAACTCTGGCTTCAGGAAGTCATCACACATCGCTTCTCCATTAACCCTTTAACAGTGTTTTTACCAGCGTTGCACTGAGAAATAGCTTGTATAACGAGTTCAGCAGATGTGCAGTTCCTCCAGGTGTTTGCCAATTGCTGCTGGCTAGTCTGAAGGAGCTTAATGGGGAAGTCACGGCAGAGGGCTGCTCTGTGAGGCGATAGCTCAGAAACTGCAGCGCTAGCTTCACCCAGGTGTTTTACACAGCTGAGTGGTTGCCATGGAGATTAAATCATTTCTCAAACATGCATGGAAGAATCAAGGTAGCACTTCACTTATGTTTTTTATGAAGAACCATGTAAAGCTCAAAAAAGTTGATTTAACATAATACTGCCCATTAAGGAAACAAACTTTGCAGCTTTGGGCAGCAGGAAATTGAACTCCAGGAGTGAACAGACCTGTAGAGGTCCACAACTCTCTCCCTGATATCCGAGTTGCTGATGTCACTGAATGAAGCCGATTGTTTGAGGTGTTGCTTTAAAATACATCCCCAGGCATGCCTAATGAAGAAGCTTACAGATTTTTCTCCAAGCTGTTTGCTTAAACTTAGGCTTGATTTTTGTGAAGATTGAAGGATTCCTCTATGTCGCCCATTTCACTCAATATTTAATCGTTGTTAACTGGGGGCAAAAAAAAAAAAACCCACAAATCTGAAGGACTAAATTCTTTTCCTTAATCCCACTGTGTCGTTTTGAGCCATTTTCTTCCACCATTCTTTCCTCCATTCTCCCCTCCGCCCATTGAAAAAACAAAAAAAACAAACTCCAATCCTCCATCCGAAGGCTCTTGAACGTACCCCTGCTCCTTTCCCCCCCCCGGCTAAAAGCACATCTGGTCCTCGGAGCAGCTCCCCGCGGGACCCCGTTAGCGATCCCTCCCAGACATGAACTTGGCCTACCTAATGTTTTTGTTCATGCTAGTCTGACTCTGTCATGTGGAGGGCGGGGTAGCAACGGAATGTGGAGGAATTTTAACATAAGCTGGCTTTTTATTGACGCAGTAGAGAGAGAACATCAACATGAGAAACTTCTGGGAGACGGTGGGGGGAGGACACGGGGTTACGAGTGAGTTTTTACAACAGCGAGAGAGAGAGAGAGAGTCCGTAAGGATTGGAGGAAGCGTGGCGCAGCAGAAGGGAGTGGCTGGGTTACATCATCCAAACATCACGGTCCTCGGACCATCGTTTGAGCACTGCTGCACAGCCGAACACTTAGTTAGTATGCTAGCTTGCTGCCGTGTCACTAAATCAATCTACGAGCTAGTCGGTAGTTAAGCGATGAAAATTAAAGGAGAAGTCTGCTTTTAATCGTACACTTTTACTGACAATTGTCCCAATCAGCCAGCAGTCAGGCAGACCGTCAATCACATGGAAGCAACTGATTAGAAACAGCTGTCCTTACCCAGTCCCCCCTTTCCGCCGCCCTTCACCTCCACCGGCTCCCCTGATGACTGACTTCATTGTTTCAGGAGTCCAGCCCACGTTTAGCCTTAACACAAACTAACTTCTACTACTGTGCTCCTATTCGCCTCTATTTTTTTTCTCTTTGCTGGACTTTGATGCCTGTGTCCTTCTAGCAGGAGGCTCTTAAAGAGTCACTGGGATCTTGCTTCAAACCATTTGTTATTCCAGCAGACACTGAAAGGTGTAGGCGTCTCGTCAGGTTTTTTAGACAAAAGTCTTTATGACATCTTTGGAAAGATTAATTCCTTCTGATTACTATGGCTACATCTAAATCCACTTTTTTTCTTTGTTTTTTTTTTTTTCTTTTTTGCACAGTCTTCAATGGCCCAATTCTGATCTTTCACCCCTCAAAAATTCGATCTGTGCCACTTCCATAAAGTGGAACTAGTTCAGATAAACAGTTTGCAAAGCACCTGCAATCCGAACGCTCATGTCGCATTTTATGTGGCTTTTAATGTGATTGATATGAGACATGCGTCATAATTCTGCATCAGAAAATACCAGATACAGTAAATCAGGACATAAACGATGGCTGAAAAATTGTAATCATGAACTTATGAAAGAAGTTTGTGTCACTGAAGCACATCACAATCCCCCAACTCTTAGCTCTGATTAAACATCCAAACTGACTTCCCTACAGAAATCGCAGTAAAGTTGTGCTTTCTTCTTATTCGCTTCCTTCGTCT